TCCCCCCTCCTATTCCGCGGTACCTGTAATTCACGACTTCCATACTCATGTTCGGTAACCATGAACAAAACATTGAGCGTCAAGGTACAGTGAACATAAAAGAAAAGATGTGTGATCAGTGTTCCTTGACGACGCGGTTCAATGCGTGCAGCCGAATAAAAWTGTTGTTTGGGCTGCCTATGGTTTTCACCAGTTCCCGACGGCCAGCATCCAAGATGGCTGTTGCAGACATAGTCATAAAACAAGAGGCAGTAGGGGCCGTGGATTTGGAGGAAAGAATTTGTGAGCTATGTAAAACTAATCCTAAAGGAATATCYGATGGGGTGATACAACAAGATATGCCAGGGATTCCTGCACAACAGCGAGTTACTGCCATTAACAGATTATTGTCAATTGTAAGCTAAAGTTAGTTTATCTTAGTTTAGTTTTRTAAGGGGCCAATTGTGCTTTTAGATTTTGTTTACAGTTTTGAAGGAATTCCCATTATTTTCGTAATTGATTGAGCTTCATAATTATTTATAGTCGAATGGGATCCCTGTGGAAAACTAAAACTGTTGTATTTTGTAGGGCAGAATTGAATTACTTAAAAGTGGCTCCCAGTTGCTGTACAGGTATAAAGATGCACAAGCAGCTCAGTAAGTCCAACAATTATGTTTTTTTTTCTAATAAAGAAATTTATTAGGTACCAGCTTTACAGGGGTGAATAACTACATGTGTATGTATGTTTTTTTTGTCAAAACAGAAAAACTAAGGGTTTTGATGTTGAGGAGAAGGTGGTTTATCAAATTATCGAGGAAGCTGGAAATAAAGGTGATTTTTGGTTTAGCCATCAGCCTTTTTGAGATTAAAAAAGGGCTGATATCAAGTCAAAATTTTGATGCAGTTTGAGAGAACATTGAAAAATTAGTATGGTTTGCAGATATTATCACCCAATACATAGTTAATATTAACTATGCCCAATACAACATGCTCCCTTGTTCTTAATTATACATTACTTATAAGTTATATATATGTGTAAATTAGTTGTGTAGCTTTCAAATATTCCCGTTGCATTTTTGTTACAAGGTATTTGGATAAGAGACATAAGATTCAAGTGTAATTTACAGATGAGACAGCTTAACAAAATACTAAGAAATCTGGAGAGTAAGAAGTTGATAAAAGCCATCAACTCTGTTGCTGTAAGTTGTGTTCACAYGCTTAAGATAATKGGAATTGTTCAGTAAAAAAGCTGGAAATACATGTACTGTGTGGAGACACTCTGCATATAGTACCCAAGATAATTTCTTTGCTAATTATCTATTACAAACATGCACAAAAAATAGTCTCAATCAAAACTGTGCTGATATATTGATATTTATATTATAGCTCAATTCTAACACGCTCGCTGATTGGCAGATTTCATGAGAAAAGCTATTGTTTACTTCGCCGGTAAATCAGGCTGCTGTCTTGAAAGACTTTTGAGTCTAATATAAAAGCAATAAAYGATAGCTTAAAGGGGTTTACTGGCAAAATAAACTGCRCAGGATGGTTGGGRGAAAAGGTAAATCGCCTGATGGCTCGTGATTTACTGATCTTTTCTCATGTTCTCCTAACCATCCCACACGGTTTATTTCRCCAGTAAACCCATTCAAGTTATCGTTTATTGYTTAAATAAATGACCTCAATATATTATAGAATATTTTTTGGCCAGCAGCCAAGAAAATATGAAATATATCACATCAATATTATGCAATCTTCCATTCATACCTGAAGGCAAATGAATCCTATAAACACCTGGGTCTGTTGTTGTGGTTCATACTTGTGTATTTAGTTTACTTCCTGAAAAACGTGTAAATCTCTTTGTTCAGGCATCAAGAAAGAAAGTTTACATGCTGTTTACACTTGAACCTGACATATCAGTGACTGGAGGGGCATGGTATAGTGACCAAGACTTTGAGTCAGAGTTTGTTGAAGTTCTTAATCAACAATGTTTTAAATTTCTGGAGCAAAAGGTAAAATACTGTGAAGCATACTGCAGTAGTAAACTACACAACATCTGGAAATTTACAATGAAGAATAACAGTTTTTGTAAATGTTGACTTGACTCGATACAAAGTCATTTCGATACAAGTACATGTACACATAACAAGTCAATTTGATACACATTCGACCCAATCCATATACATAACAAATCAATTTGATACACATTCGATCCACTCGATACATATAACAAGTCAATTCAATACACATTCGACCCAATCCATATACATAACAAATCAATTTTATACACATTCGATCCATTCAAATTCCTTCATTTATTTCATTATTTATTAATCTAGCTTCACTGTAGATATTTTGTGTAAGCACACTTTTCCTTAGCCTGAGTGCCATGAAAAAAAGGCTGAGAGAAGACTTATATGTAATTTAATTTGAAAGTATATCAAGACAAAATATTTTTAACATTTTTTAGTTTCATCAAGCTGAGAAGCTTCATGATGATCCAGTTGCAAGAAAAAATTCATCATATAGTTCTTCTGAGGATGTGTGGAAATACATATCAAAGCTTGGGATAAGCAAGGTTRAAAATTGATGTKATGATGCATTTCAAAAGTTGAAATTGCAGTTTGTCATTTATATCTACACTAATTTTTGTTTGAGTCAGTGCAGACGTCCAGTCCTTCAATAAATTGTACTGTTCGGTGAATGCTCTCAAAACAAATGTTYGCTATCTGMWAATCAACAAAGCAATATTCAGATGAGACCTCACAATGATTTAAATCTCCTGATGATTTGGCAGCCCAAAACATCTTTTATCTWTATTACTRAACTTTATTTCCTGAACAGGTTCAGCTTTCAGTGCAAGACATTGAAACCATCCTGAATACATTGATTTATGATGGAAAAGCAGAAACAACAGTTGTGGTTGACAACAGATCAAGTTCTTCTGGYCAAAAGAYGCTGTATCGTGCTGTTTTTCCTATTATCCCTTCCACTGGTCTCATGAGAACGCCATGTGGAGTYTGCCCTGTGAGTTTTGGGAAATGCTCTTCTATATAAAASTGTAAAGAATGCACACTTATTGCAAAATACTTGCTATACACTATGTTTGCGTGAGGTTTTCTTTGTACATTAACAATAATAATTACACCTTGTCAATCCAGCCACTAAAATGTGGCAATATCAATCATCGGGGTTTCATTTGCCAGTACCTAAACGTTGTTCCATTGTCGTGATAGGGTGGCCATATTAARCAGGTGAATGTAAGATGGTGCTTCACTGTATAACTTATAAATCTATTTCCTTGGTTAAATGCAGCAGCTGTACTATTTCCATAGCTGTCTAACACAATGATGTGCTGGCCAGTTAAAGAACAGTTCATGCTATTTTATTGTAGTTAATTAATTTTCATTTTGTGTTTTAAGGTTGTTGACAAGTGTTATGATGGTGCAGCAATATCCCCCAAGACATGTATATATATGAAAGAATGGTTAGATCTCTAGATACTATTGTAATATAGTTGATATTTATTAAAATAAAAACCTTTAACATTGCAGTACATGATCAATTTACTGTTTTTATTTCAATACATTAAAGTACTTTGCTGTACACTATTTGGCATATACTTAATATATTCATTCCTGTTTGCACAAACAACTACATCATCATTATTTCACTATCACTTTAAATAATTATTCAACTCAATGAATTTAGAAAAAAATCAACAACCAAGAGAACTAATTACAATACCAATGATACCAAAAGCAAAACAAGTCGTCAAATCATTCATATGTAAGACATCTAGATGTCATTAAGATATCTTAACAGTTTTCTCCAACTATACAGCTCAGTTTCTCAGGAACTTTCTTTCAACACAATTACAGCTAAACAGCAAGGAAAACATAACCATTGCAAATGATGTGCAAAAACAGGAACCATTGCAATGAGCCAGTGTATCATGATATGTTTTGGCTATCATTGTTGCTAGTTATCCCMAAAAGCCTATACCATTTTAATGAGRAACAAAGATTTCTCTTCTSTATCTGTTTYCATMCTACATGCAGCKTTTTCTTTGTTTCTGAGGAACAGTGCACACCWTACATCCATGAATATTTAGTATTTTTAAACCAAAAATTCCCTGTTACATCAAACAAAGTATTTAGTGCTTGCTTCAGGGATATATATGGTGTCCACTTGCCCAAAAGCTGATGAATAGTTTAGGATGGAAATCATACATTATCAACATTTTTGTACATCATGAAGCAACAAATAAAAACCTTTAAAAGCCTGATGTAAATATCAGGTGAAAGATGCACACCAAAGAATATCAAGATATTGTTGTTAAACAATGAAATAAGAACCAAGAGTAACCATTTTGATTACTAATGCTCATTTGATCTTATTTCACAGGTTAAYTACCACTACAATAGAGTAGATCTAAGATCTTTATTTAGTAGTTATTAATCCAGGTGAAAGTTGGAATCATATAAATGCCTGTTGGCTTGAGAGACTGTCCATAAATGGCTTGACAAGTTCTTTGGTAGCAAAATTGAATATAAGTCCAAATGTGATGGATATTGGTAAAGCAGGAAGAGCTTTTCTGTATATTGCTAACAACAGTAGGGTGAGACAGAGACCCTGCAACATGATAACAAACAATGTAACTTTTTTACATTAAATGGTAGTGATAATGGATGTCATTAAGGTGTAAGATGGTGCCTTGTAAGGGCAGTAGTAAGTGCTGGGTAAATTTAAAAGAGGCAGTTTGTACAGTTTGTGTAAGTGGCAGTTTTCTGTACAGTTTATGTTAGAGGCAGTTTTCTGTACAGTTTGTGTTAGAGGTAGTTTTCTGTACAGTTTGTGTTGGTCAGTGGCAGTTTTCTGTACAGTTTGTGT